TTATGACACTCTTTTACCAATAAAAAAAAGTATAACACTATTGTCCAAATACTTATGTGTGATGAAGAAGATTGACAAATATAGAGAAGCCCGAACAGTTTACCTCTTCTTTTCAGCAGCAAGAAGCTTGGCTTCTAGTTGCTTTCTAAGCTCCCCATCCTGCGACAATGAGCATGTCGACGATCTCAATTTCGGCCGTGCCTTGCTCGACAATAACTCATAAAATTGCTGCATTTTATTAATGTTTGGTCAACAACTCAACATAGAGTTACCACATCACGCATAATAACATATTGATAAATTCCTGGAGTAGTATTCATTTATACTCTAAACCATCAAAGCAGCTAGGCAACTTATTTCAAGTTAAAAAATGCCTTAGCATAATACTCAACTACAAGTTCTGAAAAAAATTTGGATTGTTCTCCATGTTAAGCAAATACTTGGCTGAATCAAGTAAACCATTATTTTTAAGAAAGTGAATCAAGTAAATTGAAAAGCACACTATTTCAAATATTACATCGGCCTATATTTTTAGGTTCAAATTCTTTGTGGTAATATCATTCTATATCTTGTATTGTTCAAGAGCTAGGCAAGTTGACAAATTTCTGAACAATACTAAATATGAGCCCCACATATTCTTCTAAAATGCCATCATGAACAGGTTTTTCGTTTTTAACCTAATTGTCAACTAAACAATTAAAATGAAGTGAATTAAATAAAAGAAACCATAAATTCGAATTTAAAGTTCTGATTATCATGCATTGGCGGAAGAAAACATCTGTTTTGCATCTCATTTGAACTTGCTCTGGAAAAACATAATAAAAAATGTTAGATACTTAACATCACCTAAAGCAATATTTTTTTTGATGACAAGGGAAACCCGCAGCCGCTATCCTTTGGGTGCGCACAGGGTAAAACCCGCTCATATGCAATAGCTCGCAAACCACATATGAGAGGTAACCCCACACTAGGCAAGCCTGGTGCGACGAGCTCGACCCAGAAGGCAAACCCCTTGCTTTCGCTGGCAAGGGGTTTCGAACTTGAAACCTCCAACATGGAAGTCCCAAGCTCAAACTACTGGGCCACCCCGAAGGGTATCACCTAAAGCAATATTGTGCAAGTTGTACTGCTAGAATCGACTTTAACATAGTAAATGAGTTTCTTTTTTTAATGAAAAAATAGATGATTTAACATAAGATTTTAAGTCACCTTAACAAGGAACTCATATGACCTTATAAAGTCATCAGGTCTACCAATCCTATTTCTTTCTTCCTTTTTCTTTACCTTACCTTCGTATCTATTTCTTTTCTTTCTATTTCACACAAAATTTCTACCTTATTAGTCAATGCATGAATGCAGTGTGGTTTACAGTTTCAAGTTTATAAAAATTCAGGATGAATTTGGGAATCTAATAAACTACTGATGGTTGATATTTTCCTAAAAACCTCCCTATGGAGTTGATACATTTGTTGTTTTGTACCAAGAATAATAAGAAAAACAAATTCCTTCATTCCATTAAAGAGTCCTAAGCAGAAGTCATTAGCCTCACTACCATTCCTAAATTTCCAAGTGTACTAGACTTTCTTCGATAATCAAATATCCTTGGTAGATACAGAATAGAGTTTTACTGATATTAAGTATCAATTCTCTTAGCATATCTGCAATAGACAAAACCTATACTAAACATCTGGACTAGACAAAATTATTCAAACAATATAATATATATATAATTAGAAATCCCACTTGAAGCTACACTGTTCGACTACATAATACTAGTTAGTTTTTATTTAACATTCTTCAATTTGAATAAACTACTAAAACAAGTTTCATTCTTGTTGGGTATCTACCACTGTAAAGACCTATAGCCTGGAGTAGCACTTTGCTCTTTCCTAATGGCATATCACTAAAAGACCTATAGCCTTGAGTAATACTTTGCTTCCCGTATGCCATATCCAGAACTTTGCTTAATTGATACCAATTCATTAATAAATAGTCAAGAATGCAAATTCATTTTCTCAACCATTTCTATAATAATTTTCATTCTACTACCACTAATTATGAATACAGAAGTCAAATTAACCTAAAAATTCCCCATCCTAGCAAAAAGGATCACATATTTGCAATATATAATAGGAACAAAAGAGAACGAACAGGAAAATTATAACTACCTGACGACGTAATTCGGCGTCCTTCAGCTTGGTTTCAATATCTTGGGCGGTAATAATGGAAGGAGTTTTGGTTTCAAGAAGGCGTCGGCGAAGGCGTCTAGGGAGAAACGATGCAGTCGCATTATTCGAATCATTCACCGGAATGTACAAACCCATTCCGGCGACGTGATCGGACTTTGGAGTTGCCGATTCTATTCTCATCTCCATTTACAGGTGATGATAATTGAACGACGATCGATGAAATCAACCGGCGAAAGTGTTCACGATAAGGAGAAGAGAAACGGAATTGGCCTTTCTTTGAAGATTTTGATATTTTCCGGAGCTCCAATTGATTCAATTAGTTTTTAGAAGCCCCTTTTTTGAAATATTTTTGGGTAAACCGTAAACCCAAGCGGGATTTGAAAACTTATGCATGCGCTATCCACGTGAGTTGATAGGAATATTAGGATTATATAAAGTTAAAGCTTGTTATAACAATTAATAGTTCATTATAATACGATCTGATTTTCTCCCAAAAAGTAATTTTTCCAAGTTAGTTTTATTTTTTATAGTATTGGTATACATTATAGAAATACACTCTTTGTGAATCAGACACATATGATAAGATTTTATAAGAAATATATTATATTACATATAAAATAAAATGTTAAAATACTTTTAATTATTATTATTAATGGATATATGTAGATAAATATTAAGTATGAATGTCTAAAAAAATCATAACTTGGAGAAATGCTACTGGTGTTTGCATTTTTTGTGCATTCATATTGTTGTTGTTTTTTTTATTATATTGATTAATAAATACAATTCTTTTTCTTGATACACAAAATCATTAAATTAAATTTTTGTGTACTTTTGTTCATAATAAATTAATAATAAGATTTAAAGATTAAATGTCAGTGTTTATATAGTCGCATCTCGCCATAGTAATTATAAATTTTTAGACGCACATCGTCAATGTAACAAGGTTTGAATGTACTAATAAGTTGCATCAAGTTACATCAAGTTATTATAATTGAAATGATAAATATATACAGTTAAATATCAATGAAGTGATAAAAATTAACTAATTCGATGCAAAAAATGAAAATTTTATAATTGACATATATAGGACAGGACTAGAGGAGTGTCATGTGTGAGTTTTTTACTTATTGATCTTTAAAAAAATGTTTTGACTTTTAATCTTGTTGAAGATGCTCATTTTTTACGACAATTTAGGAGCCACAAAGTCACAATTTGAACCTAATGTTAGGAGCTTAAATTCTACTCCACGTAACCCACTTAAGGGACACCTAATGGGATATCTGATTTTGCCATTTTTGGTATAATCTCAAATTGGAATTATTATTATTTTTTTTCCTTTTTTTTTAAAACTATGGTATAATTACAATCCAACATGATCTAATTTACAAATAGCCAGTAAATATATAGATCATTTATATTTGACTATGATATATTTAAATGTATATACATAATGCATAAGTATATAAAGTTTTATATATTTCAACTATATTGATTAATAAATATTGATCACTTTGACAATGGCTTCTAAAGGTCCCAAACTTCCTTGGCCATAATCTTCATCTGAAGAATAACATTTCCAGCTTGTAGTATCAAAGTATTCCAAGGAGTATTGATCCTAACTTGACTGAAATGTTTATGGAGGATAATATATATATATATATGGTATTCATGGCAGATTTGGTGGATGATCTTAAGGGCAACTCGGTACACTACGTAGATTAAGGAGAAGGGCCGCACCCTTAGGTGGATGATCTTAGGGATGTAAATTTTTACTTGTTCATAATTCATCTTGCACCTAGCTTTTCATATGTGCCAGAAAATAAAGAGAGGGATGTTTTAGTTAACTAGCCATTAGTTAGATGATTTTTATGTGATAAGTAATACTCCTTCTGTGTAATAATATTTATCCTTTATTGATTTTGCACATTTCTTAAGAAAATTTAAATAGAATGATTATTTAACTATATCACCATTTAAATATAATAAATATAATATCTTGAAAAATATAATAAAGAAATGATAATAATTAATGATAAGGGTAAATTATGAACTAACTAAAATTATTCATCGATTTCATAAAGTGCACAAGTATTGTTGGACATTCCAAAATAATATAATGGACAACTGTTATTTAACGGAGGGAGTAGTAAAAAGGAAATTAAACGTCTTTTTTGTTACATCAGTAGTAAGAGGGAGTACTGATCCATTATTACGTTAAACCATCATCATGCATCAGCCCTAAAGCAGATTTATTGTAAGTTGTAATTACACGTAAGGCAGACAGAAAGTTGTGTTCGTAAATGTAAGTCAATTTTTTGGGAAAATGGAGAGCCAAAAAAAGTTGTGTTAAATGACAAACATACTCTTAACTAGAGTACTCTATTAATCAAGGATTAGTATTAGGCACTTGGATTAGAGAGATGGCTCCAATCGTCGTTTCTCAAAAAGCACAGTAATCGTTTATTAATTAAGAATTTTAATCCTGATCAGCTGCTCAATCTACCAAAAAAAAGGTGTAGTAATTTTTTTCCTTTTAATTTTCTTTTTGAAGTATGTACTCTGTTTTAACATGATTTCAGTAAGATTACTGATATGTGTTCTTTTTTTAGTCATACAATATGTAATAATTGATCGTATTTTGTCAACATTTACTATTATTTCACTTTCATATTTATAGTAGCCTTTATTTAATCTATCAACGGAAAGATCTTCATGTGTTTTCTGACAACGAATTATAAAAAAGGTTGAGTTAAACTTGTCCTGGCTCTGTTTTGTTTTTACAGTATATATATTATTCTTCACTCAGCGATGTTGTTTGATGTAGGTAATTTGACTTAACAAGATATATAAGAGCGCACACTACTTCTGGTTGGACGTACAGGTGATGGAAAAAGTGCAACAGGCAATAGCATTCTTGGAACTAAGGCTTTCAAGTCGATGCACTGCTCTTCTTGTGTTACAACTGCTAGCCAGCTTCAAACTACTCAATTACAAGACGGAAATATACTTAACGTCATTGATACCCCTGGTGTGTATATATATAGCCAAATTTCTTCACTATATATAGTAGGATCGCGTTCATTTTGAACTTACTAATTCTAATTAATGCACATATGAGTCCGGCATCTTGTTTTATTGTGTAATCTGGAAATTGCAGGACTGTTTGATATTTCCCGTGATCCTGATTTTGTTATAAAAGAACTTGTTAAGTGCTTTGATCTGGCTAAGGATGGCATCCATGCTCTACTTTTGGTTCTGTCTGGACGAAGCCGGTTCTCAAGAGAAGAACAAGCTTCTGTGCAATGCTTTGAGAGAAAAATTATTGATTACATGATTGTGGTCTTTACTGGAGGAGATGAGCTTGAAGAAAATGATGTGGTTTTGGTTGATTACTTAGACCATTGCCCTGAGCCTTTAAAGGTTAAGATTATTTACAGATATCTTGTGTAGTTAAACTGGCAGCAGATCATACTTTGTTATTTATTTGCATTTTAGCATTCTTCAAGTATCATATGTTCATAAAAAAAGTTAAAATCGCTTGCTCCTGAGTGTGAAGGTTGATCTAAATGAATTATTTGTGCTTCTGTTACAGGAAACTCTTGAAAAATGTGGCAACAGATATGTACTTTTTGACAATAAGACTGAGGATCCAGTGAAGAAAGCTGAACAATTGACAAATCTTATTTCTTAAGTTAATTTGGTTGTGGAAAAGAACAGTGGAAAACCATATACAAAAGACCTGTTCATGGAATCAAAGGTAAGTTCGGATTCCTCTACGTCCCAAACAGCTCAAGTAGGAAATCTTGTAGTTTGTGACTGATCGAGTACCTTGTAAATATGATATTCTTGTACCCTTTCGTATTAACAGGTTGAATCTAAGCTGTGGTTGATGAGGCATCTTGAAGTGGAGTTGGAAAAAGAGCGTGCAGCTCGGTTGCAAGCAGAACAAAATGCAGAAGCAGCTCTAATGAAGTTGGAAGATATGAGTTCAATGGTGACGTATGAGGAACCCCACGCAAAAAAATGGGGAATATTTCCTAACAATATGTGTCTTATTTTATGAAATACTAATTCTTGATGCATATGTTTTTTCATGAAGTAAGTTGAGGAGTACCTATGTTTTTGTCTTTTGGAGTTTAAAAGCATAAAACATTGTTTCTGTATGAAGTTTTCAAAACTCTCGTATTACTTGGAAGGCTTTCTAAGTAAAACAATCTTGAAAGGTTGTTTGTGCTATATTTCGAAGCTTTGACAAGTGGATTATGTTGAGTTGGAGAAATACTTAGACCTACAAATGCAGTTGAAAACTCTTTAAGGATTTTATAAAATGATGAACTATAATATAGTACTTGTTAGAAATAGGTACCATTAGTGAAATAATTCGACTCATGAAGCATTTTTTGAATTTTAGGATATTGTCTCCTTGTCGTAGAGTTGGTAAAAGGGAAACTATACAAATTGGATCCACTAAGCAAAGTATTTATCTAAATTGAATTTAATCCAATATATTTATCTTGATTGACCCAGGGTCTAAACTATTTATCTGACTGCCCCTTTATTTTATTTATAGAACCATTGTTGATAACATTGGAGTATATGTATTCTACATCAGAGTACATATGTATTTTGATGGTAATTATATACTCTGATGCTCAAGCAGGAATTGAGCCGTCTTTTCATTGAAACGTTGTCTTTTTCTCCTTGATGTCATACGAGTATATGAGTAACTAAGTAGTGTCTTCAAAAGCACCGCTTCTTCCTATGTGATATCAATAAAGTATATATTTACTTTGATGGTATCAAGTAGGAATGGCAAAATGCGTAAATAAATTACTCATCTTAAATGAGTTGGGTACCCAACTCATTTATGATTTAACTCATTTAAAATGGATAAAGAAACGAGTTAAATTCATATTACTCATTTAAAAGTGGGTAGTTAAATGGGTAAAATGGGTAAAAGAGTGTAACATCCGACAATTTGAAATAGCTAAGAAGAGGCTTGGAATTTGAAATTTTTCATTTTTGGAAAGGATTTAAAAATCTGGAAATTTGGCTAAGTGTGCAAATCAGTGAGTTTTTGGCCAACTTTGAACAGTTATAACTTCCATCTCAGGATGAGTTAGGAGTAATTCCAGTAATGGTTGTGAAGCTTGTGGAATGATCTTTCGAACGCCACCGAGTTTGCTCGATTCCGAGTTCGTATGAGCGAGTTATGGCCTTTGAAAGTTGGGCAGCTGGCAAGGAATCCGTCCGGAAATTTAAGGGCATTTTAGTCTTTTCCCTAGCCAAGTCTTTTGGGATTATATTATTGTATAGGGCTGATCCTTGGATCATTTGGTCCCATTTTAAAGAGAGAAAGTTAGGGTTCTTGAGAAGAAGGAGAAGAAGAAGAGAAGAAGAGGAGATCAACAAGTTTCCGTCGTAGAAATCGTCGGGGGTGATCCCTATCAAGGTATGTGAGTCCTTAGTGTTTGGGGTTAGATCCTTTGAAGTAAGGATGGTTTAGAGTTGAAGAAAAAGGGGAGAAAAGTCGAGTTTCTGGGCAAGGGGGTTGGCGCGTCGCGCCTGCCAGCGCACCCCAAAAGGGGCTCTGAGGTTTTCCTATTGTATGTTGAGGGAATTTATGATCCTTAGTGGTTGGGATTGGAACCCTTGAAGTTAGGGTGGTTTAGAGTTGAAGAAAAGAGGGAGAAAAGT